GAGCACGCTAACAAGTCAAATTGATAAGGAAGTCTGTGGTGAGATGTAAAGACAATACATACAGTCAACCTTTTTTTTTAGGATACATACAGTCAACCTTGGTCTTATTTCATACGGCCCCTTTTAATTTCTCACCACATAACGTAACCTGACAGGCGAGACATTTACTCAGATATTTTCCGTATGTTCCTTAGTAGTATAACTAATTGAAGTCTTGGGCCATGAGCGAGATGACCTTCTTGACGGCGGGCCTGTCGAACAGCTCCTCCAGCCACGCCCTAACACGAGGGTACGCGTCGAACACCGCCGCATACGGCATCCCCATGAAGTAGTGCGTCTCGGGGAAGTGGCTGAGGTCCACGAGGCTCAGGAAATCCCCGGCGAGGTACCTGTGCTTGGTCAGCTGGGCCTCGTACACCTCCAGCACCTTCCTCAGCTTCTCGACGCTCTCGCCGATGATCTTCTCGTCGGGGATCCTGCCCAGCGCCGGTGCGACGCGGTGCTGGTAGAACACCGAGCGCATGGCGGGGTCGAAGTTGAGGGCCTCCACGTCCAGCCAGACGTCGACGAGGGCCGATTCCTTGGGGTCGCCTTCCCTCAGCAGGTTGACCTCGTCGGTCCTGTGCTTGCGGAGCACGTAGCGTGAGATCGCGCGGGACTCTGATGAGACGAAGATGCATATATATATTTCGGTGATCACGAAAAAAGAGCAAGTATTTGAAGATCAATAAGAGTTTGGAAACTGACGGAAGAGCGTGAGATCCCCGTCCTGGAACGCCGGGACCTGGCCGAACGGCTGGTCGGAGAAGAGCAGAGTTATGAATCAATCAGCATCCAGCGGTGGTTCTATGTTCCAAAACTTAGGGATTTCTCCTGACTCCGCTGCAAGCTGAGGATTTGGTGTGCTTACGTTTCTGGCGGGGTGGTCGGGGCCCTTTTGCTCCCTGGCATGGAAGTCGACGTCGACGATCTCGTACTCGGCGCCGACCTCCTCCAGGCACACCAGCACCCGCGCCACGTTCGTGAACGCCGCCGACCCCAACACCTTCACCGGCGCCATGCTCTGCTCCGCTCTGCTCTGCTGATGGATCACGGTGTTCCCCTCCCCTGGTTTATGCGGACTTCTGACGGCCCTGCCCCTTGATTTATGCTGCATGCGAGAGACGGAGAGAGAGACAGAGGAGAAAGAAGGGAAGGTCCAAGACGTCGTACACCATGAGACTTACTGCTTTGACTAGTTCAAGTGGGGTGACACGGCTCTGCCCCCGTGTAGACTAGTCGTCGTCTGACTGAATTGTCCACAGTAGCCCTGATTGATAAGCAGCTTCTACGAAAAAACAGGCTTGGCCTGGCAGGGATGTGTCGATGAGTACGTCCCGACCCGATGACGAAAGATAAAGCACGCACATACGTAGCTGACGATACCAGTGATCCCCTTATTGTTTGCAATGTGATGCTTTTCTTTTTAGAGTTGGTGATCAGATCCGATTCCAGGTGATCTTAGAATAATCACGTAACTTAGGGAGCGTTCGGTTCCTCTCCGCTCTCTTAACTCTGCTCCCGGAGCGGACCTCACTTTAACGGAGCTGCGAAGACCGAGCTCCACCAACTCCGCAGAGTGGAGGAGCAGAGAGATTACGAACGGGGCCTTAGTGTTTCTTAGAATAATGCTCCGACGTTTGGCTTTTGATATGCGCATTTCGTATTAATCAAGACGTGCATTGGCCTAGAGTAATTAGTTCTGTTTTATACGACTGACAATATATAAATATTCTTCTGCTTCAGTTATAATCAGGATTCACATATAAGGAGAGGATGGTATTGATGGAATCAATTTATTTGTTAGGTTTTTGTTGCCTTCTTGTTTCCCGAATAGCCTTATATGCTCGAGTAATTAGCTCTGTTTTATAGGACTAACAGGATATAAATATTCTTCTGCTTCAGCTGTTTGAGTGAGTTTCCCGGCATTGCTATCATTAATTGTTGCTTTGGCAGGTTCAGTGGCAGCTATTTTGTGCACATCAGTTGCTATTGGCAGTGGACAGATTGTCTATCCAGAGATCAACTTTATTGACTTTAGAGTAAAAGGTGAGTGGTTCCACTTTATGTGGTGAGAATGCTCACAATGCATCTTAAATTTAGGAGATAAATGAACGCATAAAGCATTTAACAATGTACGTCTTCATAGGTATGAACTGTCCGGTGTACTAGACAGTCCAAAGAAGTTAAATATTACAAATGTGTTCACTTTTTTTTGAGGGAGCTGAATGGCAAATGCTTCGGGTCGTGAGGCTAAAGCCGCCAGGTTTGTGAGTTTTATGTGTAGATACTATCTTTTTCTTGAAATATTATATGTGAGAGGGACCAGGAGGGGGCCGAGCATGTAAATCAAGCTTGCATTTTCCTTGTGTTGCTTTCTTTTGTTCTGAACATTTTGAAAGTCATATGTCTTGCCTTATATTACTTACGGTCTGTACCATCAGCATGTTCAGGTTTGCCTTAAGGTGGTAAGTCTTATCCAGTTGCAAGTAGCCCCTTTTGTTCCTTAAGTTTTCGTTGCAATGTTCTCATGGATTATTGGATGATAGTCTCTTTCTTGATTGTTTTGTTTTTGGTAAGGTCATGATCATACACATAAAAAATATGTGATGGCTACATGGAGTTTTGCGGGTAACATAAGTTACTGTGCCTTTTTCCAACTCTTTGTTTGGAAATATGCAGTACAACCATTGCCAAACTATACTGATCAATAAATCAGCTTCTAATTCATTCGTCCAATTTTAATTCTCGGTATGACCGGTTCAGTTAGATGATGACTTACATATTTTACATATAATTGGGCTGATCTTTCATCTTATTTGCACCTCTCCTTCATTTGTCCATGTGATTTACTTTTGCCTACACATGAAAAATATTGTTATTGGTATAGATGGATAACTATGTAAATATTAGGAAAATATTTTGATAATTATTTCATGGCAATTAAGATGTGCGTTGCACGTGCCAGCTTACTAGTCTACGAAAGACAGGCTTGGCTTGGCAGGGATGTGTCGATGAGTACGTCCCGACCCGATGACGAAAGATAAAGCACGCGCATACGTAGATGACGTTCCCGGGGATATCGCCATGATATATAACAAGAAATTGCAACATGGTGATATAAAAAAGCATCGTACAATAAATATATAGTATATATGATGGTCATGGTTGTAGGAAAAATCAAATTTCCAAATTTGGCATTTAAGTAATTACAAATTTTCTATGCTCCACTGGAAATTTAATAAATAAACATCCAAAACCTAGGCAATTTTTAATTTTTGCTAATCACTTTTCCTACAAGCATGGCAAACATAGAAATATTTTAATTTGGCTGCGTAAACGTGGTGGAAAAAGCATTGCAAATTTGTAAAAAATGTTTGTGCTAATCACGTGAAAAATGTACATTTTGTTTTTTTTTGTGAAAGCATGGCAAATATAGAAATTTTGTAGTGATTGCATGGAAAATTTATGGATTTTTGTTATCGAAAAAACATGTTAAATACTGGAAAATGTTTCACATGGCAAATTTATATATTTTTTCTTTTCTAAAAAAGAATAAAAGATATAGAAATTTTGTAACGATAGTGGAAAATATTTCACGACCCACGGGAAGATAAAATGGTGAATCCTTTTTTTCTTGCAAATGATAAAATGGTGAATCCTAATGCTCATTGCAAAGAAAAGTAGGGCTCGTGGGCCATGGCCAGGCCCGTTCTGGTTTTTCGCTGCCATTTTGTTTCAGTTTATAGGTGGTTTTCGTTGGGGTTCCCATTACCTTTTCTTTCTGGTTTCACTGCTCCTTTTTTTTTCTTTCGGTAATTTCCGACCCAGCTTTCTTGTGGTTTTTTTTTGTTTTCCTCTCTTTTATTTTTCCTTTCTCCCATTTTATGTTTTTATTTTACTCTTTCTTTTAACTTTTATTTTAAAAACTCATGATCATTTTAAAATTACACATATATTTTTTATAGTTTCTGCATTTTTAGTTTAACATGGATATTTTTTAACTCGAGGATATTTTAAAAGTTCGTCAAGATTTTTGAAGACGTGAACATTTTATAATGTACATATTGTTTATTATAAATTCGAGATTTATTTTTCAAAATTTTCAATTTTATACTTTTTGTATTTGTTTTTAAAAAGTAAAAATCATTTTATAAATCTGAGAACATTTTTCAAAATTCCTGAAGATTTATAGAATTGTCCAAGATTATAACTGTAAATCAAGAAAACAATTAGTAACAAATATTTTCGAAGGAGTCCGAAGAACCAGAAAGTGAAGGAAATAAAAATTCTCAAGGAAAGTAATCCAGAGAACACCAAAGTGGTCTAGCCCGCGAGCGAGCGCTCTGTGTGATTGATCAGTGTTTGACGCACAGAGCGTTAAATAGGTGTTTCAAATAAAACACTGCGGCTCGACCGAACAACTCATGTCAAGAGGAGATGGCAGATACCGGTCGGCTCAACCAGGTGCAGATACTTTTTTACATTGAGATGCTCTCGTTTCCCGATTCAATTTGTGAAATCGTTAAAACACGAGCACATCATACAAACTCAACTCCAGCACCATGATTCTAGAAGGAACGACAATGCCTTCCTCAGCAGTCTCCATTCTGCAAACAAGTGGTGTTATGTAGCATTATGTTCACAAATCACAAAAGAGAATCTAGAATAGTTCAACGTCGATTATAACAACAATTACCAGATTGGTCTAGTATGGAGAAGAAGAAGGACGAAGGAAAAGAGGCATGTAGGTACAAGGAGTGGAGAGTAATCAGCGGTGATCCAACTAGATGCCAACAGAGTTACAGTCTCTCCTATTTTTATTTTTAGGAAAAACAGTCTCTCGTATTCAACCAGCTTGATAAATGATAACGAACGCTACTTTGTCCAGTCAGACCTGTAAAACCATGGGATTTGGCTTGACGAAGGCTAGCTGAACCTATGGTCGTCAGTATGTATTGTCGATGGGCATGGCACCTGTCAATGGAGTCATGGAGACGGAGCCCTCTACCGATGTTTGGCCACTCATGGGCGTGAAACCTGCTAGTGAAGGGTTTAAGGGCCAATTAGTGGTTAGTTGACATGTAATACTAATTAGTGGATGAGCTCTTGGCCCAGTGGTTGGAGCGCTGTATCTTGGCTGACGGACGTTCGAACCATGTGGGCATGATTTAATCATCTTGCTCTGTGTTCGTGGGTTTGAATGTTGCTTCTCATACCTTCCAAATAATGGCTCACGAAAATACTGCTATGGGCTGATTCTACAGGAGGAATGTCCTTCATTCCATCATAAATACTTTTTCGAAATCACTAATTGAGGAGTACTCGTTATAAAGATCACTTCCATATTTTTAGGTTGCGACAAAGTGGCGCGCTGCATGGACGCCATTTATCGCAACCTGGGAGTTTTCCTTGTCGGAAACACTAACACCCACACGTGTGGACGTTTGCATCTCCCACACGCGTGGATCCGCGTCCGTTTGTGGGTGCACGAATTTTAGCATGTTTTTGGTGCCGCGTAGGATTGGGCTGGTGTGTGGGCATTCACCCGGTCGCCCACAAGTCCGTTTCATCACACGGAGGGGCCGGTGTGTGGGCGTTTAGCAGTTCGCCCACACGTCCGTTTCACCACACGGAGGAGCCGGTATATGGTGTTTAGCAGTTCGCCCACACGCCAGTTTTCACTCACGCACAAGGGCTGGTGTGTGGGCATTTGCCATCTCACCCACACGCCCGTCTCCTCTTCCACACCCAAGCTGCCAGTTACCGTGCGTTTTGCAGTGTACATGGCAACTGCCCTAGTGTGCTTGTAAGAAGATGGCAACTCTCTCTTTTTTTTTACCCGAACATGTCAGTTGCCGTGTGTTTTGCACGGTACACGACAACTGCCCTAGTGTGCTTGTAAGTAGATGGCAACTCTTTGTTTTACCTGAACATGTTGTTTTGCCATGTCTCTTTGTAGCGCTACACGACAACTGCCTACTGTTAGTAGGTGGCAACTCATAAGGTTTTCAAATCAGGGCAACTGTAGTAAACCAGATCATACATGGCAACTGCTTAGTGTTAGTAGGTGACAACCTCTAAAGTTTTCAAATCATGGCAACTGTAGTAAATCAG